GGGGGAGAAGGGGGGGCGTACCCTCTATCATACGTGCAGCGCAATGCACTTGATAGAGGCAAATTACATTTCAGCGGGTTGTTTTCATTTATTTCTTTTTCGCAGAGGCAGCGAAGGTCTGGCGCGGAGTGGCGCGTGGGTCCCAATTCACTTTGTTAGTTGTTCACTTAAACGTTGAATAGCAGGTCCCTCGCTCCCTCGCCCCTGCAGCGCGCCGCCCCTGAAAAGAAATAAGACGGAGAGACAATTACAAGGAAAGGAGCGGGGCGGAGCGGAGAGGATGACGGGAGTTTTCCTCTTCCCCCGCCGCCCGTCTAGTCCGTCATCAGATAATTTGAGATTCACGGCGCAGGCACGAGACAGGGGGCCGGGGGCAGGGCTGAGCAGCGCTGGGCAGGGCTGGGCAGGGTGGGGCAGGACGGGGCTGGCGGGGCGGGGAAGCCGCCACGCTGCCGCAGACAGGGGGCCGCACAAACTGCTGCAACAGGGCTGGAGCCCGATGGAGCAGGGGTGGGGAGGAGGGAAGAGGTGGCTGCCGTTTCAAGTTAGGCCTTCCGACCCAGTGGTCTCATAGTCGTGGGCCTCGTACGCAAACCGCGTCACAGCGCCACGCCACACGCCCCGCCCCGCCCCCGCCGACAGGACGGTTTGTGTCTGTCTGCCCCGTATCGCAGGCCGCAATCAAAGTGGTGTCCTATTCCTACTGCCAGAGGGTCCCGACCGCTCCTCTCCGTTTGCGTGGGAGAGACCACGCCAACCGAGGAAGTACCGGGTGATTCAGAGAAGAGGCTATGGCGCCTTACAGGCAGAGCGGGTAGGCAAACCCGCCCGCACCTGCGTCTTCTCTGAATCACCCGCGGTACGCCGTTTGGATTGATGTTGCGTACACACGGTCAAAACACTCTCTGGGTTTTTACCCATAGGTAAAACTGTGAGTAAATCCTATATTTGAGCAAAACTCCTTTAAAAATGTATGATTTTTCCTGATTTTTCATGATTTTGACTTTTGATTTCCTCAAAATGTAAGAATATTCCCACATTTTTTGAGGAGACTTCCACAAAATCTGAGGAATTTCACACAGTCCAAGAGAGAAATATTCGAAACATGGCCCTTGTCCCGAACACATCAGGACGTAATATTTGCGTTTGAGATTTTGTTTGCGTAACAGCCACGTGACGATTGCGTAATAACAGAGAAATCAGTCGCATAATCAGCTCGTCCGAAACATTTCCGTGAAATGAAGTGTCATGGCTTTCTGGCGGTAGTCCGTACCGTGATTCTATCGAGATGACGAGATCAACGAGATGATTATGATTCGATTAAGGTCCATCGACAACGACGACGACTCTCGTTCCATACCGTGCCAAACACTCCCGCGAGCGTGCTCCACCACCCCAAGAGAGAATACCCATCTTGCCTCGAGTACCCCCGAGCCCGAGCTCGCGCGCGTCTGGAGCATCGATATAATTTACTCGAGTTTGCAGAACTTGACCCGGAGGTCGCAGAGAAAGGTGACTCCGTCGTGTGTCCCTATCACGTGGAGCACCAGCAACATGGCTTGTCGTCTGACCTTGTGCTCAGCTTTGTCATTGTAATGGAAATGTAATGCTTCTGGCTGACAAAGAAATTGCGCCAGCCTTGCACCCCTACCTTCAGATCCAGACACGCATTTCTAAAACGTGAAGCGGCTTGTAAGGCACTTCTTCTTTTGTTTACGATTTAATAATATCGCAAGCTTTTGTTAGTGACACACACGTGCATCACTCTCTTTAACAGATTTACTAACAAGCATGTAAAATGCTAAACCAGCCAAGTAAAGTTTGCCGTCTCTTTTGCTCACCGTCTCCGCGTGCCCTAAACGTTTTGAACGCATAAAACGCTACAGTTGCGACGTGAGAAGCGCCACGACGGGCACGCTGCTGGGCCGCTGTTCGCTTGAGTGGAACCGTCACCATGGCTGGAGAGGGCCGCTGTGCTGCGCGCTGCGCGGGCGAGAGGGCTGAGGGCCCGTGGTGCTCCGCCTTAATATCCCCGTGTCTTTCATTGAAGCCCTCGTGGGCCGCGCGCTCAAAGGGCTGTCCCAAGGGCTGTCCCAAGGGCTGCCCGCCGGCGCGCGGTGGTGGTGGGCCTGTGCCGCACACGCCTCGCCGCCGCCGTGCTCGAGCCTTTACCTGCTTTGCTCGTGGAGACCACCCGCGCAGGAGCACATGTTGTGCTGTTGCTCGGCTCTTGTTTGCCTCGGGACAGTCACCCTGCCTGCTTGCTTGTTGCCTGGACTGCTGCAGCCCTTCACGGCAATGCTCGTCGTGCTCGCGATGGGGGCGCCCGCCCGCGCCGGCTCGTGGTGGTGTGCTCGGGTGCTCGTGCCTGTGTTCGTGACTCGTAACGGGCCAAAGGGGTGAAACCAGCGACGCGGGGAAAGGGGGGCTCTGCTGATGAGCTGCGCTCCTGCTCCCGCGAGTCTCTCAGTACGCATTTTTTTTTTCTTCTGCGTGTGGGTCGCCTGCGGCTGCCGTCGTGTCTGGCTCGTGGCCCGAGGCGATTCTGTAAAGTGAGGTGTGCGTAAAGCAAGAACACGTGAAGCATCTTTGTTGACGCACGGATGATTTGTTTTTCATCTATCTACATCAGTATCGACTCATTACTCATTAGTCGTTCTGCTTGAACTTAATTAATTATTAACCTTAATGTGGTGGGATCATCCAGAAAGTATAAAGTCAGTCACGGTCCGTCATTTGTATCGGGACGAAGTTTAGCCAATGGCCCAATCCAAGCTCTCAGGGCGCCTGGTAGGTAGGCAACATCTTGTCTGTCGTGCATGCGTGTACTGCGGGCTGGACTACCCCGAGTCTCGCAGGCGCTGAGCTCCCGTAATTTAATACTCCTAAGTTCTCTCCAGTGCGAAGTAGATGTGGTGTGGTGTTGGTAAGGAGTCGTGCACAAACCACGAGACTTTCGGGAGGAGAGGAGGAGTTGGTACAAATATTTTGTGGTCCCAAAAGGTTCCGGACGGTCCATTAGTCCAGGAACTCTGTGATATTTTTACCCCGCGGTCTACAAATCATGGGGTCCTATGGGCTCCAATGACCTTCCTGAACCTTTTGGGACTCCAAAATATTCCCCCTTCCCCCGAATTTCACGTGGTTTGTGCTTGATCTCTGAAAAAAGATTTAGTGGATTCATGACAGATAAAAACCAATTTTAATTGAAAACTACATGAGGTGATCGCAAAGAAACAAACGTAACGGAATGCTATTGCCACCCCACACGTGGGGGTGGTGGTCTGCTCTAGAGCAAGCTTTCTCCCTTGCGACATCCCCCATGCAAAGTCCTCGTCCTCGGATCGCAGTTGGTTAAGCCGGACGGCGGCCGACGGCCGGAGCAAGCCTTCACAGTGGGATATTCCGGGCGACGCGACAGCAGAGAACAGCGCGCAGAAGCAACCGCTGAAAGTTTTTAACGAGGCACCACGCGCAGCAGCACGGCCGGTCTAAATCCGTTTCGCCTGCTCCCGAACAGTTCGACCGTACTGCTGAACATCAGTGGCGTCGCTCACCCGGCCGGGACTTGCGCGCCGAGGCCGTGATGGCCCCATGCCGAGGCCCGAGCGCGTCACAAACAGAGTTAATGCGCACCGGACCGATCAGCGCCAACGACGTCTGTGATGTGACTACGTGCAAACTGCGTGACTGCGTGGCGTTCTTTGTTGTCCCCATTTTTTTTTGTGATGTGGGCTGGTGCGACTTTTTTTAGTGCACCCTCCTCGACCTCTGCTAAAAAGATTTCTTTTATAAAGTCGTTCGGCAAAATGTCAAATGCGGTCAAATGTTAAATTATTTTGTTCACAGTTGGTTTTTCAATGTACAGGCTCAGCAAGACTTTTCGCTTTTCCATGTGGCGTTAGTGTACGGCCTCAGGGCCGACCTGAAGTTCAAGTATTTTCGAGTCCTGTTATTGTTTGTTGATTTTTTACTGACTGCTGAAACGATGACGACTCAGCGTCGTGAACGACGACGACGCCAAACTTTGCCTTTCCGTCGAAGGGTCGTCCCGATGTCGTTTCGACCTCCCGTTTTCTCACCGGGCAACCCCTAATTTGCATAGCCGCTGGAGATGCGTCAGTCCCGCGCGCCGGCTGTGCCCGGCTGTGCCTTTGTTGTGGTCGTCCCTTAACCTAACCTTGGCAGAACGGTGCCGGGTCGGGCCTGGTTGGGCCGGGTCGGGCCGTTCCGGGAACTCCTGCGAGGTGGTTGGTGGTGGCGCGGTGTGGCGCCGCCGGCACCGCGACCCGCTCCCTCCAGGGCCCGACCAGAGCCAGGACATCATCACCCTCGCCCCACGCTCCCTTAGCGAGCCGCGTCTTCATCCTTCATCTATTATTTTCCACCCCCTAATTGTTATGCCGCACCCCTTCTCTCCCCATCGACCCCCCCCCAAACTGTGAGTAAATCCTATATTTGAGCAAAACT